TCAGTCATCCACACCAATCAGAAGTGCTGCGCTCCACATGTACCAGCCATTGTTAACCAATCAGAAGTGGCCCATGATAGAAGGTGATAGACAGATTGATCCAATCACCTGCCAAGTATTTTTGAAAGTGCCTGCCCTTTCCAAATGGCTTCCAATGGAGCTTTCCTAGATGGTTTGGTGAAACAAACCGTCTGAGTCAGGTTAGTAATGCTCCATCACATGTTTTACATCTATTACAGGGTGAATCTTAAACTGAAGCTTGACTTTAAAAGCAACCCAACGGAAGTTTCATGTAAGTTTAGTTCTTTCACTCGTAGCTCGGGCTGCGGGGGTGCTAGAGACGGGGGCACGTTGATACGACCTTCCTAGCCGGAGATATATAAACTTCCGTTGGGTCGCTTAAAAACAAATATCGCAAATCGAATCGCAATATCTGTCAGAAAAATAGCAATTAGATTATTTCCCCAAATCGTGCAGCCCTAAATGACAGCCAACATTTACAATAAAACGACTTAATATAGCAAAATGGTATTAATTGGGATAAAACATAAACAGAGGGCACACTGGTAGGAAAAGGGTAAAGGTCATGCCCTGGACTTCCTGTAGTGCCTGCTCGATGGTTGAGAGAAAATACACAAAGAGGGTTGATTTTAAGGGATTGTATGAACCTCACCTCCGAGCTGTGAATCAAGGGTATACAATCAAAATAAAAGTATATAGTATAAACCAAACATACCTGGTTAATTTCTGGCAGTGGACTTTTGTTGCAAGTACCAGAATAAACTATATTTCAAGTCAACTTGAGATACTTGAAAAATGTGGCTCTCCGCACGTCAGATTTCGACCCAGTCAAAGAAACAAAAAGGTATGTGCCTTAGTCATGGTTAACATCAAATTAACCTTGTACAAAAATTGACAAATGTGTCTAGACAAGCCTCGCCCGATCTACAATTGTATTCACAAAACAGTGACGAAGGACACAGTACAAAGCATAATGGGCATATTAAATCAGGAGGAAAGAGTCTTCCTCTAAAATAAGTGTTAACAGGAAGTTGCAGTTTCCCTTATTACTCCAAGTGTACATGGTTAGTTTCATAAGTGGGTAACATTCAGTGGTTGCCTACAGGAAATATCTTATTATTCCATCTCTACAAGATAAGTTTAATCAGTCATTCTTAAAATAGCATGCGGGTCACAAATGTGCTTTGGATATTAGTATTGAATTACAAAGTGGAGTCTTATCTCCAGGAATGTATGCCACCTGAAACTCTTCCCCTCCATTGATATCCTCAATAACCCATTTTACTCGCACCCCCGTTCATGTTTTGTCAATACGAGCTTCAAAGCCAGGAAACCTCACTGTCCATATGAGAATGGTTTTAGGAAGGCCCTGAGGTCAGTTACACAGCAACAGCCAGGACTGTGGGAATGTGAAGCTTTCCACAAACAAAGTCTAAGATACCCCTCATCTCTCTCTCTCCAGGCCCTGCGGCAACCATCTCAGCCAGAGACATTATATTTCATCACACTGGTCCATGTGAACTGAAAATATGCCATTCTTGTCTCAATATTGTCAGCCATAGCTTTCTCTAATCTTCACTTAGTGACAGAGCCTCAACAAATATGTCCCACACAACGTCATACATTGAACTGAAGGGTTATTCATAGAGCATTTTGACTCGTGTGCTAATTCAAAACAAATCTTGTAGCTGCTTGGTTTGAAAATAACAAACGGCCTTTTCTATTCATCACAACGCGATACAAAATTATGAATTAATGTACCATTACCAGACCAACAGTAGTGAGAATGTAAATGCCGTTAGGCCATAGCTACAATATTATTTTACATCAGATAAAAGGGAAAAGGTTCCCCCACTTACAATAGATTCCCAATTCAACCTGTTAGTTCTCTTGTTTTTTCACACTACCGAATAATTCCTCAAGTGGTGGTCACTAAACAACTGTAATGATCTAATCTTTTTATGTACATCTAATTGCTGCTTTCTCAAGACAAAAGGAGAAACAGAACAGGCTGAACTCCAGAAAACATAGCTGTTCTTTAAATCTAATAAACAAATGTATTTGTGGCAACTGTGACTAACATGTCGTCCTCATCAGACCTCTTCTATAATCTCTTCTGAGAACAAGAGACACAATATGACACTTGATTGCACTAAAGTATTCATTCCAGTTGATACTAGGGAACAACAACACTTAACCTTGTTATCTCATTTTGATAAATAGTCAATTCTATTGTGTTTGTAATTGAATTAAGGTAGGAGGTCAGAGCTGATTGAAACCACAATTTTAAACTTCGAACAAAACGGTGTAGTGTCTAGAAAACGTACAACGTCGTCTATACAAACCAATATAACAGCACTGAGACAAATCCCATGTTTAAAGCTTTGTGTGAACATCTTAAATTGACACCATGTCAGAAAAATGTTGACCTCAAGCTATGGTTTTATATTAAAACTGCAGAAGGTTTGACATTATATATCAAGGGAAAGCTTTGTTGGAGCCGTTGTAGATCTAAATTGATAAGTAAACAGTAGAGCATCTATTCGGTCTATTCACCGAGTGTAAATAGTGGATTTCTGTGGTTAGGCTTTGGGCGTCACATGGATCTTTACAGTTGCACTTGTGTAATCCCTGTGATATAAAAACAGTACAACGATTTTGGGCCCCAAATATGTTGTTTCAAGACATGACTCTTATATCACATAAAAAGAGACGAATATAGAGAAAACTGACAGAAAAAGCATCAGTGTTTATTTATTTCCGTCTTTTCTTATCACTTTCATACTGATCATTGTGTAACCTACACATTTTACCATGGTGTCGATGTCACAGACATCAATTGTGGTATTGACCAAGGGACAGATGTTCCTTTTTTGCTATCTCCTCAAGGACAGACTCAGGCCTGAGAGGTCAAGTGAATTGAGTTAACTAGCAGGTAGGGCGGAGAGCGATATACTCTCCTGGAGAGGAAATAAGAGCCATGTCAACAACGCCTCTCAAAACGACACACTGAAGTAGGTTAACCCTGTGGTGGCCGTGTCAATGTGTCATTTGACAAGAGTTTACAACCCTCCTCCTGACCTTGGTTTAACAATGGTTAGACAACATTTTTGTGAAATGTCTTTCCTGTGAGGGGTGGTAATGTGTCTCAATGTTAGTAATGTTTAAATTGAACTTAAACTTAACTGACTTAAAGACTTGAAGAGAAGCACAAGTGAAATATGCCATATATATAAGAGAAAATAGGGTGTGAAGAGAAGTGAAACAGAAACTTTATTTTTGTACTTATGTAAAGTAATCCTCATGTTTAGCAACAATTTGTTATGAACAGCTCCAGACTTGAGTTTGTGTGCACACACGCCTACAGGTTTTGTTAACCTTAGACTCGAAGCGATGAGGTCAAACTCCGGTTAAAAGTGAGTGGGCTCTGGCATTAAACTGTTTATGTGTAGCACATGTAAACAGCGTATTAGGAACCTTGATAAAACGGTATCCCTGTTTTGAAAAACCTGAATTTGCTACCTAGCACAAATGGAAATCTGAATACCGTGTTATGTAAACAGCTTATTCAAGTTTAACATCATTCTCTGTCATGTTTGCAGGTGCATCTTTTACCAAGTTAGTCAATAAAACAAAGATGACGTTTGGATGGTATACATGTTGAAAAACCTAGGTTCTACTTGACGCTTAAAAAGCTCAGTCAGAAATAACAGATATTCTTAACATCAACAAACAGAACAACATCCTCAGCAAAGAGAAAATAAGGTGATCGTTTTAGAAACGTGTGCAAATGACGTATGTAATCAGGTTTTTCAATGCTCTTATGTCAATATCCTTATTCTCTAAAACCAGGAAGAGACGTGCTACTAAAATAATACTGTTTCTAACATATTTGACCACATATTTGTATCGATTAGCATAGGCAGGAAATATTAAAAGCACCCATATTATACACCAACCATCAGTTCAACATCCAAACAAACTTCTAAAATTATGCAGTAAATTCATCATATTTCAACAAAGACTGGGTAACATAAACTTCGTGAAGGATTTAGTTGAGGACTGTTGTTGCAGACTGGATTGCTTTTGACGATGTGTAACTATAAAACATAATAACCCAGTACAGATAGGTACAGATTGTTGGGCCTATCTAACAATCTATTTATCTATATAGCCTGGATCGTGGTCGGGACACCTGATGCCAGGGGAGGGATAAAAGGAGACTAAACATCTGTAACTGTATCTGCCAGGTCTCTAAGAAAAAGTCATTCTGAAATTGTGCATGGAAAAACAGAGCAGTCCTCTGTGCTATCCAAAAGTTTAGCACCCCACATATCTAAAGCAACCTACAGGCTGCTGTTTTTGTCCCGTGAATTCTTATCATCCGTGTGCCTCCAAGAACATCTGGATTTGGCACAACGTTATACAAGTTAACTTAGCATGAGATCTGCTAGCGTTTAGGACATAAAACGTCTACTATCAAGACAAACCCCTCAAAGATTCCTCTGCTAAAGTGCACCTACATCTTTGTTATGGACAGTAAAACTTAAGATACATAAACCATGATTATCGGGTTTGCTCTCATCACATATTAAAAGCGGTGCATGTGGACTGAACTCCTCGCACTGTGTGCAGCTTTTGCCTCGAAGTTTGTGCAGCTTGTTTAAAAGGAAAAGTTTCAGCGACGGAGTGAGAGAAAACTCCAGGACTCAGTCTGTTTTCAATAAATGCTGAACATAATTACTACCCATCAAGATCAGGCATAGTTGGCCTGATCAGAGACACATAATAACTTATTTCAAAACCGCTAACAAGCTCCACATCAACAGAAGTGCGTTAAGCAGGCTACTAGCGTTAGCAATGCTAACCAGGCTGAGCTAACGAGCTAGCTGGCTAATGCTAGGCCCACTTCCACTGGTTCATTACTACATTATTCCCCAGTTGTGATCTTGCACTTTGTAATTTTATCCTGTGTTTACCTCAGAAATGCAGGGGTGAAGAAAGACAGCAGGCCTCTCCGGTGAATCCCTCAGGTCGTGTATCCAAAGCCAGATATATCCTTTGATGAAGCTAACGATGAGGTTAAACGCTCCTTCTTCCCACCAGCAGCAAGTCAAGTGTTTGCACCTAAGTAACAGCAGCTAGCACGTTAGCCGGAGGAGCTAACTCTCCTGTGTGATGTTAGCATGCTAGTAAAACACTGCTAACGTTAGCTGCTCTGTTGGTCGACCCTCTGACTCTGTTCTCTCTCTGGGAGACATGTGAAAGCGTCCGATCATTAAACAGGGGCAACACATCCACTGGGACCAAAGAGCGGGCGGGGTGTGAGTGTTTTAGCCGTTCACAGGCTCCTCAACAGCCGCCTGATTTGTTCGTCTCCTCCTGACTCTCTACCGACTGGAGAGAGTGGCTGTCGCAACGTGATGACGGCACGTTTTTGTTTGGTCGTGGGCGCTCGAATTTGATGTGATAACTCCCTGGATGACATCCATGTGAAAGAATAACACTGTAATAAATGCTGGGTATATTTAAATATATACTACACCTAAATATAAAAATGTATTAATGAATAATAAAACAAATCCGAACATTTAACAACAAAGACAATAATTGTAATTATACATAAATAAATAAATATCTGTGGAAATGTGATAAATGAGACAAATGGAATTGCTGAAACAGCTTTTTCCAAAAATGACACCCATTACTCAAATTAAAAAGAAAGATCTTGGGGGAAATAATGGGAGGGGGACACTCCATATACACATTTGTATGGTGTCACATACATTCATGCTGGTGGAAAACCTAAACCTAATTCTATCCAGCATGATGTGCCTCATTTATTCATAGGCACAAAAAAAAGCAAGTTATCGTGCATTACAGTGCCCGGCCGGCAGTGCCAGCCATGGTTAGCTTTGGCTCGGTCATTTTCATGCCCTGTATCTGGATCCTCCAGGGAGAGTCTGAGAGCCTGAGATATCACTAAGCACCAAACATGTGATCCTGAGGACTGTGGATTTGAGACTGGCATCTGGTCAATCAATGCTGAAAAGCAGACCCTGGAAACAAAGAAGAACTGTAAATATGCTCACTTTGTCACCAAATAGCCTACTCTCTGTAGCTCTGTGCTTTTATGAAAATTGCTCCTGTAAGCAGACTCCTCACTGAAGGCTTGAGCTTTTTATTGGAGTCATCTCTCTCTATGTGCTCTTTATGTTGTTTTGTTTGTGAAACTAAACACTAAAATACACCGGATAATCCTGAGTGTTGTATGTGTTCATGGGCTATAGAATTACTGAGATTGTATCTCAATATTTCCACAAAGAAACACAACCGCAGATCATCAGACCTGAATCATCAGACCATGTTTTATGAAACTGCTTTCATTAATTTAGCTGTTTTGTTTTGTCAGTTTTATTCATTTAAAATCAGCTGTATTTCCTTGCTATAATTTGACTGTATGGTGACATTAATATGGACATTGGTGATTATCTATCTGCAATAAAAAAACATATAAAATGCACATCTTTATCACATTCATTTTTTATTTAATTGTATTGTATAAGTCTGTATATGGATATATTGTTATGCATCATTCATTTTTCTTGGGAATCTAATATAAAAAAGTGTAGTTATTCGTGTCCCAAACGTTCCCATACAAGATTGTCTAAAAGTAACCTTTTAAAATAAAGAAATTAGTGTGATTTTCCTTCATTGATTGTTTAGCTTGAGGGTTTAACCCAAAGAGGTCAGCATCCAGTACACAAATATACATATCAATAGACCTTATTTGTTTAACACAACTGTTTGGTGACCCTACATATTTTTGAGACCCTCAGGAGCTGGGAACCTTATAGTTTTTTTCAAGAGCTCCTAGAAATCCTACATTTCATTCTTGTAAGGAATATAGTTGAATTGTAATGATTTATTCCTTTGTTTACGTAAGTCCAAGTCTAAAAGATCTTTGGTCTCACCATTTAAAATTCCTATAATATGTAACCTTCAATCAAATAAATGCTTCAGATTCCCTAGACTTCCTGGGAAAAAGTCTGGAGGACATGACCTCAGCTTCAGCCCTGATCGATGTGTTTTTATCAAATGTTTTTCCAAATGGTGCAAGAAGCGGTCTTTCATAAGAGGCTGTGGAAAGTTTCACACACTTTCAATTTTCTCATCAAGACTCTACAAAGGAGCAAACTCAAAAATATTGTGAAGTAAGTCACACACACACACACAACCACACACACACACACACACACACACACACACACACACACCACACACACACACACACACACACACACCACACACACACACACACACACACACACACACACACACACACACACACACACACACACACACACACTCACTCCCTGGTGCACGCTATATTTTCCACTCAAAGATTGCCCAAGAACGACTGAATGTGGTGATTGCGACAGACGGACGATGCTCGGTAACATCGCAGCTCTTGAAGGCAAACAAACAGAAATGGAGCTGATAGAGTGGCAGCAACAGGGCCTGCTGGGAACACTGATTCAGTCTACAAAGGTTGATCAATTCAGAGACGGGTCACTGAAAATATGATGTTATGATTGCATCCTCGAGGGGATTACATCACATTTCTATTCACTGTGACACACAAGGCTTTTAAATGAATACTTTAGTCACAAAGATGACTATCAGTTCAACAATTAGCCAACCCATGTTAGCTGGAATCCGAGAGGAACACTTTGTTTCTCTTGCATGACTTCAGGATAAACAAAGAATGGAAAAAAATGAGAAAAAGTCTTGATGAATGGAAGTAATGAGGAGCCACATTTAACAACAGCAAAACTTTATCAAAACATCTGTTTAGAAACTCTCACACAACTCCTGCAGCATATTGCAAGATTCACTTCTCCAGTCATATGTTTACTTCCCAATCACATGCATCTTTTCTAAAACATGTGAAACACTCACACAGACATAGAACATGCCTGTGCAAGAGTACTGTTAATGCAAAAGTATGTTTTTTGTTTGGGAAGTAATGAGCACATGACTGGAAAAATGACACTTTGATTACCCTGCAAGTTTTGTGTTTTTAGATGTTTTGATATAGTTGTGCTGCTGTTTAACAAACCTAATCTACTTCCAATCATCAAAACATTTCCCTGTTTTTCTTGAATACAATGTTCAATATGGAGGCATTCATGTACCTTAAATCAGAAATATAATAAAAACATCCTGGTGTGAGATTCTGTGCATATTTTCCCACAGTTTTGTTTGGCATTTAAACCAGTTTAGCTCGAATCTGGCGCAATGTGAACTGTATGACACTCACACCGCCCTGCACTCAGTGGGAGAAACCCAGCAGCTGCTGCTGTACAGCATCTGAGGGTAGGAGTGGAGAGTAGGTCTAAATGGGTTTGAATTTTTATTTAGGTGCTTACAATAAAAAGGACCATATTTTGATTGCAATGCACTTAAATAAAATGTAATTCCTTCCCACAAGGCTATTAATAGACAGTGTAAAAGCCATTTTGTAATACAAGCGAACAAAGAATGGACAAATTACACCAATCCTGAGTTAAACACTGTGGGTAAAACGAATTCCAGTTCACAACAAAAACTCATTTAAAATCAGGGGTAACTCTCTGATAAAAGTCTGTTTTTATTGTCAGTCTGACTTATTTATTCAGTCTTGTCATTCGGCAACCTCAGGGCTCTGACTGCGAGTTTTTAAGTCTAGACTAGAAAACAAATAAAATAACTCTGAATGACGATCTCAAGCTATGCATCGGCTCATGTGGGGCTGAAAGATAAAAAATAAGAAGAAAGAATGCCTCAAGTAGAGAGTCTGAAAAGTCTCTGATTCAGGTAAACATATTTCAAACTGTTATAAAATACAAGTCTCCCTGCTTTTAACCTGCGTGACGCAAAATGTGTTATTTTTTCAGACAGACAGAGCTTCTCCAAGACCACAGAAGACATTATACAACTATTTTTACAAACTGCAGAGCACTAAACACACCAAGTGAAGAAAGAAACGTTATTGAGCATTTTCTGTTAGAACCAAAACTGTGGAGAAGTTAGCCACAAACGATTACATTTTCCCTGCCTCCAATACCTTTAAAACCAGAAGACCCACATCTTTTCTTAAGCAGAAGTTTCTTCATGATTGGCCTAATTATATTTTATAAAGTGTCTCATTCGGTGACTTATCTCTTATTTATGTATTTTTATTAAATCACCCCAGAGTTTCACTGAATCATATTCACGCAATGCACTTAGGTTAGTATTTCTTATTTTTTAAATCTATTACAAACGTGACAGGAAATAGAAACAGGTCTAAAATGTAACCAGAAAAACGTTTTGGTATGATTTCAGATACCTAAATCACTTCCAAACTAAAGACAACAGGCTTGAAATATCTGTGTAAAAAGTACCTCAGTATTTCCTTGTATGCCTTACTAGTGGTTTATGAAAATGCCTCTGTTTAGTCAGCAGTGACCGGCCAGACCTCACCAGGCGAGACATTAAAATGCTGTCTAGAAATCTAATGATGAGAGCAAGAGAGAAAATGGAGCGAGTCTCTTTCTCATTTGTATTCATTGGTTTGTACGGCCTGTCTGCTCTCGCTCCCTCAGACCCTCCACTGATTTGTATTCCTTTAGACATTCAGAGCTCATATTGAACAGATAAAAGACACTTTCAACCTGATGTTTTGTATCTAATGTTCTGTTATTTTTAAACCATTATGAAGAATTGAAAAGGTATTAAATTAGTTGACTACACCATTAATCTTTATTGTTTAGAACAAATAATGTAGGTTTTCTACATAAGACACCATGTACAAGACTAAGAGTCGAGTTGTGCTTTGAGATCAAATGTCAGCAGTCTCCCGATGGCCTTAGTAAGATGAATATGTGTAACAGGTTTACCATGTTCTTCATCTTAGTATTAGCAAAAGTGCTAACTAGCATGTAGTACAACTTACACCTATTTTTGCAGGTACAGTATTAGGTCATAAAGAAAAGTAAACATTTGACCTGCTATAGATGAAATGCAAAATATCACCAAGTTAGTACATTAAATACAACTTTTATATTATAATTGATCTTGAGAGGGGTATGAACGCTGTACATTCATGATCTTTTAACAATTAATCGAAGAGATATAGAGGCATTTCACCAGTCAAAATAACAAATATCTACCTCAAGAAATGGTCAGCAGTCATCAAAACCAAGAAGGATTTACCCTCTGGGAACATTAAACGTCTGTACATAAGTTAAATATATCCAGTCAATAGTTTATATTATATCTCAGTGTAAAACAAAGTGTCGGACCGAGCAACATTGCCATTCCTAGTGTGATAACACCATCATGTCAAGAGATTTTATCAATTTAAATTGTATTCAAATCTTCATCAGCAAAACAACAACAGGGCTACAGCCCATTTGAAATATTTACATTCCTTAAAAACAATATCTTTTGGTATTCTGTATTCTCATATTTACACTGCAAGATGCTGCAAAATACTGATGAACGTGTAGAGAAAGTTGCACTGACGCTAAGATCAGTGTCAGGAGCGCTTAGATTCAACACTTTTAGGCCAAAACTGGAAACAAAACATCCGAACAGCATCTGTAGACACAAAGTATAATCTACTGCAAGAGATGGAAATCTTATCAGCAGCAGCAGCTTTTAGAGAGTTATTTTCTGCGACGGGTAATCATTTATCAAAAGACTCCGAAATAGAGTGCGACTGATTTCACACTTAGAGAGATTTCAGTCTCTGAATAAAACACACTTTCTCCTCAGCAGCTCTGCACAGGCATGAAAAGGAGTGGCCCTCTGTCATGCATGCCTGCGTTCCTCAACAGGATATTTCCCAGTTAAAACCTGCAGCTGGAGGGACCGGCAGTGAACACAACAGAGAGGCGTTCAGGGGCAGTGAAACACAACAGAGAGGCGTTCAGGGGCCGACAGCAGTCATATCTGTGAGGAGTTAACACGCTTTAAGATGACCACATAGTCTTTTAAAAGTATGAATCTACAGAAAAGAGAATAGTTGGTAGCTACACTGTGTTCTTTAAACGTTTAACTCTGTCTGATTCATTGAGGCAGAAAATACTCTGCATTATTGTGGATTATTACAGATTACTATTTGACAGTTTCTAAATCAATCATATCACCTACACATCCTCCGTCACAGACCGAAAACTCATCTGTTCGAACTGCACCTGGGCCTGTGCATGATATTAAAAAATAAAAATAAAACTTTCTCATCACTTATGGTCTCTTAATGTGGCATTGCTTGATTCTTGCAATATTTTGGCTTTACTCACATTGAATGCACTTATTAGAACTTGCCAGGGACAACATTGTCAGCTAAATAAAAGTATTGCAATGCATGACAGAAACCATACATTAAAAAAGACACAACACTGATCCGACAGTCACTATTTAAGCAGATGTAAGTCCATATGTTGTCCACTGTAAGAACAAGTTCTTCTTGTTGATTGTTTTACTGTAGCAATGAAAGTGTCCTTGAAGTGTTGTGATGTATTTTCCTGGCAGTCAAATGAGTCCCCGTGGTCGCAGATGCTGCCGGATAATTGGAGGACGGTCAGATCGTCCACGTCGGCATCGCTGCATTGTTCACTGTGTGTCCTTTGTTAACCTGCAGAAAAGAAATCATGTGAGCGATCTGTATCTCTGAACTCTTGTGACAAAAGCATTGTGTGACAGTTTTCCTTAACTGATTTAGTCAATTTTCTGTAATTAGGTTTGAACAAAGATTTCAGGCGGTGGTTAATAGTACTTAACTCAGTTGTATGTTCTTCAGTATTTCTTTAGTTTTGCAGCAAATGTTTTACTGAAGTACATTTGAAATAAAACATATGGGACTTACGCATTACTATTTAGTACTAATTGCTATGCCTACTCCTACTTTGATACGAGGCAACACACTTCTAGCCATTTTCTTCCAATATATTTACCTCTAGATATTTGTCAGCACTACCTCAATGACAGCCAGAGTACATGCAGCAAACACACACTGCAGACTTCCTTCAAGGCTCTCTTTGAGGATTCATGATGTTTTTCCTCTTTTTTTAATTAAGAAATGAAACCCTTTTGACGTTTGTCTGATGCTGGTGGCGAGACACTTTTTCTCTGCGCGTTTGTTAGTACTTGCTGATAAAACTGTATGAATGTAATCCATGGATAGAATAAAATGTCTAATAATAATGAAATCACTCAGTACTAGTAGGTTTTTTACGACATACTTATTTTTTAACTTTGTCTCAAGTAGCTATTTTATAGTACTTCTCCTACTACATTAGTCAATTTAATTATAAAGCAACACCACCTTAACGCTAGTACTGTTTTTGTTTCTCTACCCACCCTTGATTCTTTCTACTTTCACTAAACCATGTTTCTCACGGGAGTATATCCACTATGGCTCAACTTGTTCCAGTGCAGTGTAATTGGCAGGTTTCAAAACCTGCTTTTTTAAGCAGTTTCAACACCATTTTATAAGCTTTCTTTCATTTGCTCAAGTTACAGTGACATTTCACGGCTCTGACAAACAGTGCAGAGCGGCTGCAACACGCCACCGCAGCAGCAGTAACATTAACTTTTGTTTTGAGATCTCTTGTGTAACCCAGTGTGTGCAGAGGGCCTCCACAGTGAATGAAAGTAACCTCTAACCCTTGCTCAGCGTTAGCGATAAAATCCTGGGAAAAAGCCATGTGTAAAGGATGTTGGTCAACAGTAAGTGAAGTGGACCTTGACCTCCCTCCAGACCTCCAGAAACAGAGACTATCCCGGGGTTAGGTTGCACCACACTCCCATGCATGCCTGCTGTAATCACTAGCAGGTGTAAGAGTGTTTGTGCTCTCAATATGTACCATGTGAAATGAGGAGAGGGTCACAGTTCATCAGCCATACTGCAACCAGCTGGTGCATCACAACAAACCCAGGCTGGCAGGAAACGCAAACTGTTTGGAAAGAGCCAAAGTCCACTGTTGATCTGTTTTTGTTAGCATTATTGTGTAAGGTAGATGTTTATGTTGATGATTTGGGCGTATTTATAGTGAGATAATTCAATAGACGCTGCTATGGACAATCTGCAATAAATGCACATTCTATGGACAATATTGCACAAAAGTTATTGATATTGAAGTGACTGTTATTTTGTATATATTGATTGTTGTGTTTTCTATCTTAATGTGTGCATATGTGTAAATGTGTCAGTTGATTGTGTATATAGGACATATTTTATACATATTTTTATACATATCTGTATATTGTATAATTTTATATTCGGGATTGTTGGAAACGTCTCTGTCTGTAAACACAAACTGAGTAAGATTGACATTAAAGTTGACTTTGACTTGACTTTTGTAATTTTCGGGGGAAAACAATTATGTTCCCGTTACAAATTCTACTTAAAGCAGCAAATGAAGAAATTACAATGAGATGTTTTTAAAAGGATCCCACTGCATGCTGGATGACAAGATGAACTTCAGGGAAAACATACATACATAATAAGAGATTAGAAGAGCGAACTTTTAATGGATTGATAAAAAGAAAAACACTAAAGAGGTCCATTAACATTAAAGGTAGGGTAGGTAAGTTTGAGAAACCGGCTCGAGATCGCTAGAATTTGAAAATACACAACCGGAGAAAATCTGCCACTTCCTTATAGAGCCCCTCCTCCAACACACACAAACGTGCACATGACCAATGAGGGCACGAGATAAGTTTGTGTACAGATGGAAGGCTGACAGGCAGGCAGGCCATCCAGTTATTTTAGCCGGGCCGGCTAAAATGATTGGTCGTGCTTTTTACAGTATTACGGCTTCCACAGATGACATTTCTTTATGGATTTTTTGTCAAAGCACTTAAGATATTCATTGCTATCGGGATGTTAAGAGCATTCCATGGAATATAACAAAAAGTGTATCTCGAGCCGGTTTCTCAAACTTACCTACCCCACCTTTAACAATTGAAGGATTTAATACTTGTTGGTTATTGTTTGTGTTGTTTTTATTATGATTTGAGTCTGATTGTATTTATTATTAAACATACTCAATGATGATTTGTTTATATATATATATAAATCCTTATCAATACTGTTACTTCCTCTATAAGAAAAGTATGCTTTTTGATGTAAAAGGGGATGTGAGAAAAAGCTAATAAAGATAAGTTTAAAAAACAGAAGTGGGTTGAAGGAACACCTGCAGGAAGTTTGCCTGAAGCACAATTACTCTTGCTGTGACACAGACTTATGATTTAGCTACTTTGCCACAGAAGAGCAGGAGTGAAAATAAAATTATTCATACTACAGCTAATAGATACAAATGTACTTTAAACATTTTAAAGTAAAATACATCAAAAGGTTGATTTCATATTAATATTAATAGTGAATTGTATAAGTTATGAGACTATCTCTCTGGTCTTGACGGATAAATGACAAGAAACTGACTAACATCTGCATGTGTTTATAAACTGGCCATACCTTTAATAAGTGTAAATCATGCTCACCATAAGTAGATTCATAAATGTTTAGAGTCTTCTGCAGGTTTATCTGAAAAACAAACCACATGAGATGACTAATATATTCACTTAACCCTTACACTAAGAAATATACAGTGTGTAAAACCACTGACTCACACCAGACAAGTCTGAACAATAAGAGCTATAGCGACCTCTGCTGGGTAAACTACAAAAACGAATCTGGCTCTTGCTAAAAAAGTGGTTTCCATTTCTGAAGTTTTATTTCTGGAACCACAGGGAACATCTTGACAAAGGTTACCAAAAAAAGTAGCTATTCATTACACAGAAAAGCCCGCTTCAGAACAATGTATATAATAATATGGTAAAATCACAATTATTGATGTGTCAATTTAATCTGGCAACAAATCTGAATTTATTTCATGAATATATTTTATATTATTAATTATATTCTGCGAAAGTTTTAGGAAATAAAGCACATACGTGTCTATACGTACATACAGAGATGCAAAAGTACACACATCCTTTACTCAAGTAGAAGTACAGATACTCGTGTTTAAAAACACTCTGGTAAAAGTAGAAGTACTGACTAAACTTCTAAACTCAAGTAAAAGTAAAGAAGTACTGGCTTCGAAATGTACTTAAGTAAAAAGTACCCATAACTAGCAGCTGTTTTAAAGAGTAACTGACCTCCTTTTATATTAATAGAACAATAATGTCATTGTTAGCTAATGAATGTTGAACAATGGCAAAATGACAACGTTTTCATTGTTCTCTCTTCTTTAGAGAAGACCAGGAAGTGATGGATACACGGATCGTGTTCAAATCAATAGGCACGCAATGACTCTAAATCAGTGGTTCTCAACTGGTTAGGCCTCGGGACCCACTTTTTACTTGGTCAATACATCGCGACCCAACATTTTGAAGCACTCAAATCTATTCAACAAAAAATCGTGCTGTAATATATACGCTTTTGAGAATACAATATTAATAAAAGTGAAGTACAGTGCATATATCCCTTATATCCCTTCACAGAACTAAAGTATGCTTTTAAACAAGGTTTAATGAGATGATGGAATCAAAGCTGAACTATATAAAAAGGCACACATGCTGAAAACCCAACCCCAGCAGGGGGGTCTGGGGGGATTCTCCCCCAGGAGATTTTTAGAAATACTAACATAAACTACGCATTCTGGTACACTCTGAGAAGAAAATAAATAAATCTATTACTACCCGACATATTAATAATATTTTATGCCATTGTTTGTTTTTCACTGAGTTCTGACATCTTGCTGCGAGAAGAGGAGATAGTCTGTGTGATTTACTTTAAATTGTGGGTAAGGGTAGATAGCTCCCATTGTTCTGTGACCTGTCAATCATCAAACCGGGGGTCATATTTCATTATGTGTTCATTTTTATCTGAAGTTGTACCCATGGATGTATAAAGAAGAGTTCTACCGCAGTTATTCTCCGTGGGGACTTCCGGCAACAATCTTGAATCTGATTGGCCAGAAGACTCGAAAAAACATCAGCAGAGATGTTTTATTGAGAAGATGATCACTACGTGACAGAAGTTTTCAAAACCATTTATGGTCTCCGGTACTTCCAGTCCAACGCCTACTGCATGCACAGCGTTAGAAAATCGGTCCTTCAAAATAAAAGTTTGCATTTTTTCCCCCCAAAAAAAAAAAAAAAAAATTGCAATTTATTTTTTCAACTTTTTTTTCTTCACTCACACATCCGCGACCCACTTGAAACGGGTCCGCGACCCACTTTTGGGTCGCGACCCACCAGTTGAGAACCACTGCTCTAAATAATAATGATCACGCCACCAAACACAGATTAAAACTAAAGTAACGAACCTGTTTTGAAAATGCAAGAAGTAGAAAGTACAGGTATTTGTGTGAAAAATGTAAGAAGTAAAAGTAAAAAGTCGTCAGAAAAACAAGTAGTGGAGTAAAGTACTGATACCAGAAAAATATACTTAAAGTGGACCTATCATGCTATATTTGTATAATATAGTGTAGGACCATACCTATATAAGGCATATTTATACTTTTTTCTTTTCAAAATACCAAACAGATCATGCATTTTAGCCATGCCTCATTTCGCCTCTGTTTTTGCAAGGGCTGATTCAGTGAGAACAGCACCATCTACTGGCCTGGCATATGTACTACAGCGTCTCCAGCGCTTTCGAACGGCAATGGCCGTGGTTGTCTCCTCCTGATTGGTGGAGTTGGCCCAATAGCCGTAGCGCCACCGTCCTGACGTCAGGACAGTGTTCAAATCTGGATCAGTTTTTATCAGATCCGTTGCAGCCCCTTTTTTAGAGATTTGGGTATGGAGGAAAATAGAGAGGGTTGTGTTTTCTGACACTTGGTGAGTTCCCTGGAACACCGGGGACACATATTCATGTATACAAGACGTACAAAAGTGCATTTTGCATGATAGGTCCCCTTTAAGTACAGTAACAAAGTATTTGTACTCCACTACTTCCCACCTCTGAGTACATACATATTTATATGCTACAGCTCTATGTGAGAAAGATACTCACCATCCTTTCTCATCCAATTGTCTAACTCTTCCATTTCTAGCTCGAGCACAGAGGGCACGTCTTCCTCAAACATGGGCCTGGAAGGTACAAAGTTTCAACACATTCAAATAATCCACACAAAAAACCAAGGTGAGCAAATGAACTTCAATGTTTCTGACACCAGCTGTCGGTATCTGTAGTCGACTTGTGTTTATAATAACTACAAATTACTCACACTTGTATGCATATTGAAAACCTAACCTCATGGTTGTAAACATAATAAATAAACCTTGAAGAGTTTATTAAGAGTTCTTCAAATGATCAGCACGAGAGAACAAGTAAAAGTATCCATACTTACATAGGAACCTTCTCTGAACTGGACCCGTCCAAATATGGATCCTCTTTCCTCAGCTCTATGAGAATAAAAACATGGCTCTTTATCAGAATCAGAAACAGGTTTATTGCCAAACAGGTTTATATATACGAGGAACTTGCCTTGGTGTATTTGGTGCGTACATAAACACAGTTAAAGAAGATCAATTGTAATAAAAAGACCATCAAATAAAACAAGGATCAAATATTGGGCCACCGAGGCATTACAGTATTCAAACACTTTAACTTAAAAGATCCAAGGCTTAAAAAGTTGAGTCATTTAGTAGTTATATTAATAACAAGTGTTGATAAGTTGCCGAGTTGTTTTCAACACGAATAAGGTCAGTTCCTCAATATTACAGGAAATATACTTTCCTATTTAACACTCACATTATCCAGAAACATATATTTGTGTATAAGTTTTAAGACTGAAACACTTTAATTAAAAAGGTTTCATGACAGTAGAGGAACATTTGACATTATGGTACACATCCTCACTGTGCAGCTCCTTCAGCGACAGGCTGCTGCACCCCACCTGTCACACGGAGAGATACCGCAGGTCCTTCCTTTCTGTAGCGGTCAGACTATACAACCAGCACAGCCCCTAGTAGACCCCCCTCCCCCCCCCTACACACACCACAAAACAGACTATATCACCCCTTGCTGCTAAATACCAATCAACTATGTGCAATATGTGCTATATGTGCAATATATATATATATGCCGTTAATAACTGTGTAATTTATAACTGGCTGCTAATCCTTAGAACCGTTACAAGGTGTTTTTTTGCATTTAGTATCTTGTAAATTGTGTAACTTGCTGCAGTTAAATACCTTCATACTATGTGCAATATGTGCTATATGTGCAATATATACATTATATACATAAGCCATTAATAATAACTGTGTAATATATACCTGGCTGCTAAATCCTAAGAACTGTTACAGGATTTGTATTTTGGAAAGTATTTTTTTTTCTTTTTTATATTATAGTTTTTATTATATCATAACTTAGTACTTTTTTCTTAACATAGGTAACATTAAGCTGTCTGTGGCTCTTTCCTGCTGTAACGATGCACATTTCCCCTCTGTGGGACTAATAAAGGTATTCTGATTCTGATTCTGATTCTGATTCTGATTCTGACATATTCACTGTAGACAGATGCCACTATTGTTTTATAGACAATTGTTTAAACTTCTGAACAGAAATAAATACATTGACCCTATTAGAAAAGTCTGCAAATAAAAGCAAAATAATCCTAATTGTCCAGGGGTAAGATAAGATAAGATAAGATAAGATAAGATAAGATAAGATAAGATAAGACTTCATTCATCCCGAAGGAAATTGTTGTGCCAGAGTTACAAAAATACAATAAACACAGCAGTACAATAATAATAAAACGGTACACTAACATTGCAGTAAAAAGAGCAATTCAATAACTACAGGAAACATAGACGGTCACATAATTAATGTAAATATTAACATTATTTAGTAGTGCAAAAACCGTAGTGGTAGTTACGTAATTGCACGTTATTTATCGAACATTATTAATAATAATAATAATAATATCGCACATGTTATATAGTACGTGTTCCCTCTCGTGATAGACATACCATGATTCATCTGATTTTGTTTCCACCTGCGGTTGATGAAGATGCAGAAAACGATGAAGGCGATGATGAGGACCACCAGCACCACAGGGATCAGGATGATGAGCAGACCCAGACCCTCATCCGTCTCTAGGTCGGTCACATCCGTAGTGTTTGTCTCCCCTGTTGAAAAATATAAACAGTCATCCATCTTTTCCTTACCTTTTCCAACTTGCACTTTTTCAGTTTTAGTTGATTGCAGTCCTTTGTATAACCTTGACCAGGGATTAAAGATTTAAATGGCTTCTGGTTTTATTTGGGCATTTTTTATACGATGCGTAATCTTTAATAAATGTGTTCTGCTGCAATCTTCTGTCATTAAAGGATTAATACAAGGAGTAAATGATAGTTACATTTACAGTAGGTCTGTAAATGTGCAGGTATGCAAGGCCATGGTTGGTCTGACATACCATCATAGGGCTCGGAGAAATAACGTCCTGAGCCATCCTGCTCTTCTTCAATGGTAGTTTCAACTGGAAACAACAGCAGAGGAAAGTTGGATGATTTTTCTGAAACTTCACAGTGAGTACTAACTCATGTTTTACTTCTCTCTACTACAATGTCCCACAATGTGACATAGAATTGCATTAATTCAAGAAATGCTGCTTTTCATGTTTTTTTGTGTTTCTTTCAATTCGTTTTTATTATAAAACATTAATTTAATAAAAAATCCATTATCATATATTCTCCCCAAAAAAAAGATCAAATACATTTAAAAGGCACAAAAGAAATCAAGTAAAGCATGAGCATTGTAGGACGTGGTGCTCTCAGTATGTAGTATGTTCAAAACCTTTCCTGAGGGTAGGTTGAGATTTTGGGCTTTTCCTCAGAAACAGCACCATTCAGAATAAAAGCTGACTTACAATCGATATATGGTGTGGTGAGGTCCGGAGGTAGAGTGGATTCAGAAACATCTACAGACAGAGAGAGAGAGGCACTTCATCATCAGGACATTCGTAGAGTAACACTTCTTATTTACATGTGTGTTTTAAAAGCCCCCTATCATACTCGTTTTCAACAATATATTATAGGTCTCAGATATATACAACACATGTCTCTGCCTCTGAGAGATGTTTGGTTGAAAAAGAAAAACACAATGGTGCTCTAGGAGGAGATTCAGGTGATAAGGTGGGGGTTACCTTGGTTGGTTATTGGTTACACAACCCAAAAAACATTGTGACATCACAAAGTGGCCAAAATCTGATCAGCTCATTCAGGTTTTTATATAAATGGATCAGGACAAAAAGAGAGAGAATCTGTTTTCCTGAAACTTTCTGATTCTTTTACGGGGACACATATATGTATAAAAGACATGAAAAAGTGGGTTTTGCATAATATGTGACCTTTAACACCTCAATTCAGACATACGTTTTATTGTTGACAGTGGCCATTATCAAAGGGGACAGCTGTATTCATTCCCGATTATTATAGCCACAGGGTTCATCACAGTTTAAAGACGTCAGAGCCTTTGCACTATGTCTGATTTGAAAAGCCACAGCCATTACAGTAAGCTGTTGGAACAGCTCCCTGCTCAAAAAAGGGTTTCAACAAGTTGTGACTTGTAGGAAGCCTTTCCTTTCATTTTGTGCAGGCAAGATTAGGTTCAAATATACGAAAGAGGGCGAACCTCGACAGCATGTTTGACCAAAATGAAGAGTCGTCCAGAGAAACAGGAGCACAAAAGTCAACCGAAACACAAAACTACCATCTGTGTCTTTACTTATGTTACAGATACACAGTATGTATTCCTATATTCGGCCATTCCTATATATCTGATTAAAAGCGGCAACTCTATTGACAAAGACTGTGAATGCAGTGAGAGGACCAGATAGAAATAAGGTCAGCCTGAAACATTTCTGCAAATATTCTGCAAATACTTTGAGCATAAAACGTTTTTCATATCTATCCAGACCATATCATCTGTGCACATCCTAATAATGTTTTTGTATTCGTCAACACTCCTACAAGTAACCAATGAGCACTCAGCCTACTGACTATGACCCCTCACAGGTCTTCCACTCGACCTGTGACACCCTTAAAGCCGAAAGAGAGTTAATAGTTTATATTCTACAATCACAATTTCCATCTCACAAAAGAACATCAGTGACAAAAAGCTCCTTTTATCAAATAAATGACAATCTAACTTAGAAAAAACGTTCTTGATCTCTAAACATCTGAAGACTGAGGATTAAGTCATCAAAACCTAGAAAATCAAACCAAAACAAATACAGTTTGCTGCTCTTTCTGTAAAGTCTCTCATCGTGGACTTTTCCAGACCTTATGGCACTATGTTGAAACAGGAAATCACGAAGTCATTAGCACACTGATGTTTAAGATATCCCTGTGTGCTGTAGCACCCTCATTTCCTGTGGAATCCAAACTGAATAGTGTTTTCATAATGGGTCACTTGCACTTTATAACAAAATTGTATTTTCTTATTTTCTTAATGCCTCGATTTTTTTTATCAAGATTGTTGTATTTTATTTATGTAATATTGGTTTAATATTTTTTGCTTTAATGTTTTTTGTCATGAGGAATAATTAGTTGTAGTTGTAGCTGTAGTTAAAAAAAGAGTTGGGCAAGAAAAACATTCAAATGTGCTGCTGCTTTTTCCTAGAAGAAAGTGCAAAAGTACCTAAATGTTCAGTGATGTGCTTCCTGTTTGCTTTATGGATAAAAGGTAAGAACCCCAGATTGATTCCAGGTTGAGGTCTTTGTTGCATTAGCACCCCTCTTTCCACCATGTCTGCGTTCTATGTCTACGCCTAACAAACAAATGCATAAAGATCTTTTAAAAGAAAAAACCTGTCAAAAACTAATAACAATTGAGAATAAGTACTTTCAAGAGATCTGGACAAAAGCAGTCGTGGTTAAAGTGTTTGCTTCTAAATGAATTCTTGTTTGATATTGATTTTGTGTTTGCATCATAACTGGATATCGTTTGGCTTGTTTTTCCTATCGTATTTATTGTTAAAACAATGTTTAAGGTGCTCTTTTGACAAAGTGTTAAACAACATATAACCCTTTTTTTATGACTTCATAAATGTTTTATTTATTTATTTGTTTAGTTTTTATTATTGTATGTTTTTCTAGTCTTTTGATCACAATGTTTCATTATTTTTGCCTGTTTATTTCCATGTCACTGAAAATATCAAACTATATAATACCATTTGTGAGAAGAAAAAAAAATGAATAATAACTAAATGAAAATAAATGTTAGAACCTCAATGAGGCTTATTTTGTCTGCACAACAGAAAATAAGAAGGAAAATAAAATAAAATAATAGACCTCAAAGAGTCTACTTTTGGGCACATCATGTATTATTATTTTCAAATGTATTATATTATTCATGTCTCACCTGTGTCATCTGGTTCACCATCAGCCTCTAGTTCTGCATCTCCGGGCTCCTCCCCAGGCTCTATGTCTGGGTCTTCTTCTACGTCTGCATCATCCTCTTCTTGGCAAAACACTGAAATTCAACACATCCCATCACTTTACATTATGCCGCTGCCTTGTCACTGAAAAGGTAGTTAAACATGTGCAGCATTTATTTCAGTGAAGTGAAAAGCGCATGTGAATGAAGACAGTTATCCCTGCAGAGATTTCACCAGCTTACTTGCTAACACAACATCTGAATAAGTGTCACATCACACAGGAACTCAAGACTTCCGCCTGTATGATTTCAAAAGGTTGCTACAGACATCTAAACTGTTGCAAAAGCAGCTACTGAACAGCAAGGAGTAGGAGGAGATATTCAACAAGTTGAGCAATTTGTTCCTGACATAGCTTCGTTACGCAGTCGAAGAGTTCACTTTGTGAGAAAAAGTTCCTTTTGTTCAAGAAAATGTACTCGATTTTACACAACAGAGGAATCCAATTACCGTTTCTTAAAGACTAAGCTGCATATGTACAGATTTAAAAAGGTTTCCTGGCTGATCTTAGCTTTATCAAACTTTGAGAAGAGATTCATTTGAAATAGAGTGGGGATTGAGTTTCTACAAACGGCAAAACTATGACAAAAAGTGGATTATAGTGACATAGGGCCAACTTTCACTTTTAGTTCTTCGAATGTATCAAGTGTTTTGAATTCATTATCAAAACTTTTCACACTCCTTCCAGTCCAGAAGTTCCGCTCACAGTCACAAAGCGAGGAAAGTAGAGTAAAGCCCAAAGGAGAGAGCAGGGGGGAGACAGGAGAGTAAAGAGCCGGATCCTGGTGTCATACCTGTGCCCAGCAGCAGCAGCAGCAGCAGCAGCAGAGGGGTCTTCAGCCCCGGCCCTCTCATGCTTCCAGTCCCAGAAGCAAACATGGTGCCATTGTGAGCCTGCTTCCTCCTCTACTGTCACAGCATCACACTTCCTGATCTGACTAAACATGTTCACTGGAAGGAAAAAAAAAGACTTTCTAACACACCCTCAGACTCACTCAGATAACTCTCTCGGATGTGATGCAATCGGCTGTGTGTGCCTGTCGCCACAAGTCGGACGGCTCCTCAGCACAATCACATTCTTGCCGGGGAGGTATGCAGCAGAGGGGGAAGCTGAGCAAACTTTAAAAGAAGGAAAAAACTATTTTCTGTGAGGGCCAGCTGGTCGGGTATCTCTTGTCAAACTGCTGCTGCCTAAATAAACTCTGAGGCTTTACATTTGCATATTTGTTCTTTGATCTGTGTCTTAATACAACTCAGGATTACAAGTCAGGCTTTGTGGTGAGGAAGCTTGAATTTGAGGGGCAAGCTGTAATGGGTACCTGGATAAAAGCTGCTGGTCTACTTTAAAAGTCTCTACAGTGTTTTCTTCACTTAACAGCAGAAACAGGTGGAAGCAGGTTTCAACACGATGGCAGGGGGTTGAGTTTCCTATCAACTGTGACAATGATCATCCCAAATGGCATTAAAAACCATGTATGACACTTCCTCTGAATACTGGTGGACAGTTCTCATAAACAAAAAGACAGCTAGGCAATATGTTGTGATCTTACAAAGGAAATATCAGGCTGTGCTGACTAATAACACTAATTTCACAAGAAGAACATCACTTCCCATTAAATTAAATGGAACTACATATCAGAGACCATCATTCAATGGGATCACAGAAACAGCCAGGGGCTTGGAAGCCACCCATCATCAAACTCAGCCACCATTTTTAAATCTAAATACTCTGTATCGTGACTGTATCTTGTACAAAAATAAGTTTAAACACCTGGCAAATTACAGTATTTAGAGCCTCCTCGTTGGTAGTTCCCTCCCTTTCGTAGGGTATCTCCAGGAGCCCATTTGGCAACGATGACTCAAACTGAGTCAGGAGGTGAAACCAGTCACACAGTTCACACGCCTCAAACACGACTGAAAAAAAGACAGAACAAGTTCAGACAGTGAAGACAACAGACAGACAAAAACTATTAAAATGTAACAATTTGAATTTTAAAGACCAATGCACGTACGACACTCAAGTATTATGTGAGGAAATGTTATAATATGTTTTGTAAACATCATAACATTGTAATATAGAAATAAAAACTATATTTTTCAAAATAACACATTTGAATCTAATTTTATATATCAAATTAAATTAAAACAACTCAATGAACTAATTTTAAAAATGTGTATAATATCTATAGATTTTTTTTTAAAGTAAACACAAAGTACAGCTTAGATTTAAATGTCATTACTTTTGTAGGTATTTTGACATAAACAAAAATATTGGCCGAGTATAAAATGTGATTTAATGTTGGTGCTATATGACATATGACAAATCCTTCTGATAAATGTGTGTACCAAATGTCATGGTGATCAGATGCTGTAACAGAGATAAGGTTTTAGTAGTGTGTCCATATTATATATAGTATTTTAGTACAAGTTTTGGGTACTTCTTTCGTATTAAGACAAAAAAACAGAAAACTGAGAGGGTTCAGGTTCAGGTTATTATAAATAAAAATAGGCATCTGTGTGACGCTCCTATGATGTGTTAATTAGTGCAATAGCTGCTGGGATAAAACTGTTTTTATACCGCTTCGTTCTACTCCTTGGGACAAGTAACCTCCGGCCCGAAGGAAGAAGCTTACATTCTGAGTGCAGAGGGTGGGAGTCATGGTCTAATATGGAGCTGGATAACCGCTTTAACTGCCTGAGGTACAGGGTCTCCAGGTTTAGCTGTGGCTCACCAATCAGTCTGCTGGACCACTTTATGATCTGACTCAGAGAGTTTCTGCTCCTTAAAGTCAGGTTACCAAACCATGACATTAGTGAAAAAGACAGAATTGACTCGGGTTACATTTTGTTTGATACCACGGAAAATATCAGGTACTGCTTATAGGGTTCCTTCTTCTTGTTTTGTTATAGTTGAGAAGTTTAAGAAATCTGAGCTCACCACAGATGCTCATGAAACATCCTGTTGCACCAAAGGAAGGTGTGGACACTGATGTGTTATTGCCAAAAGTACATTGACATCTGGACAAACATCTGCATGGATTATCTTCCTTTCAGAGCATTTATTTTAGACCATCAAGAGCATGAGGGAGCTCGGGCCCTGATGTTACGCAAACATTATTTAATTTATCCTGTCTGATCAAGTGTGACGGTCTGGGCTCTTAGCAGGGCATTCAAGTTCTTCCAAACCAAAATGAGAATGTTCTTTGCTTTGAGTTTTTAGCATATTATGAAATAAAACTGCTGATAACAAGTTGAAATGCACATGATGCATCCTCAAATAATAATTTCAGAAAGAGTTATACACAAATACTATCTTTAAAGTGACAAGTTGTTCTTGGTTTTAAGAAGATAACGTTAAAGCACACCAGGGCTTGTTCCTCTCCTCGTATCTGATCTCACTAACCGCACAGAGCCTGAAGCCTGACTGGTCTCAACTGGTCTCTCTGAGGCAGCTTGAACTGGACTGATCAGTAACACCGTCTCCGTACATGTAGAGATGATCATCTTTTCATTACTTGTGTTGTGTTTTCTTGGTTTGTTTAATTTTCATTTGTCTCATATCTAGTTTGTTAAACACTTCTGATGTTTTTAATGAAGAGATGCTTTAATAAAATGTTTGTTTGTCTATAATTACGTTAATTTGCGGCGTTGTTTTATGGTAGAAATGGTAGGGCAACAACTCTTCTACAGATGCAAAACCAGAAACTGAACTCACATTTGACATAACACCTATATCACATTTCCCACACAGGTAGACACAGATGAGAGTCACACTGAGCACATACCTGTTCTTGCTGTCTTGCTCTTCTCAGGTTTGGTAGAACTCTCTTCTCAAAGGTATGCTTGAGATCCTGAGGGCCTGTTGTTCACCAGGTACCATCCTCTACGAGTAACACACATGGGATGCAAAACAAGATTTTTCTCTGACATAATATGGAAAAGCATACTTTTAAAAATCCCTGGTGTCTAAAAATCCAATTCATATTATCGACAAACATAGAAATGAATTATCAAAATTACTCTGCAAAAAGAAAATGTTTTAATTTAAATGTAGCACACAGTTACTCTCGTCTTGGTGTAACAATGCTATGTTCTTAGTCTAGTACTGGCATAGCAACATCACATTGTGTTTGGCATATCCTTGCCCTCATCTTGACGGTAAACTGAATTAATAATTCAGGAAAAAGCATCCTTGATCCACGTTACCTCCTTGTTAAACTCTTCGAAATCCGGAACCTTTTTTTCACCGCAACACATCCGGAAGAAATTTGAAGACGGACCACTTCCGGTCCGACTGTCAACACAGGAGCATCAACACGTGTTTTCAGACAGATACAATGGTAAGACTGGTTTGCAATTGCTGTAATTGTAATATGAACTCTTGTAGTTATTTAAATCGGCAGCTAACAGCTTATTTCTTGTTGTGTTTCAGCCGAAGCCTAATAAAGGAAATGGAAAGCCTCCGGAGAAGGTTTGTCACCCGTACAGCCGGAAAGCTGCTTACCTGGCCGGAGAAGAAATCAGACTGAAAAAGAAGAATAGGTGAGAGCATAAAAAGGACATCTTTACAGCTGCAGCTCATTAAACAGAGGTGGGAGACGTACTCAGATATTGTTCTTGAGTAAAAGTAGAAGAACCAGATAGTAGGAATACTCCGTTACAAGTAAAAGTCCTGCAATCAACATTTACGCAAAAATGTCCCAAATTCGGATCAATAAAGTACCTCTTATCTTTATCTTATGTTTCTCAAGTAAAAGTACAAAAGTATTAGCATCAAAATCTACTTAAAGAGTAAAATGCAGATTGGCCCATTTTTGAATAATATATATGATGTGTTTTGATTATAATGATCAATGCATTAATGTGTTATCAAAGCTAGTAAAGGTGCAACTGATTCTTTACTTTGTATACTGCAGTGAATTCACTACAGGTGTAACTAAAGTGTTGATTATATTTCAAATCATTAATCCAAATCTGTAAAGTAACTAAATATATGAAATAAATGTAGTGGAGTACAAGTACACGATTTTCTACCTAGTAGAGTAGAAGTACAAAGTAGCACAACATTGAAATACTCGGGTAAAGTAGGCTACCTCAAAATTGTTCTAAAGTACAGTACTTGAGTACATGTAATTTACACCACTGTCATTAACTTGTATTTTAACACTCATGACTTCTGGTGCTGTTAATACTACCTAAAGATTGCTGATATATGCCAATACAGTGTTTCCCACAGAATTTGATTCTATTTGTGGGGGCACCGCGGATTTTAATCACTGCTTATACTGTTGGTTGTTTGAACAATTAATCTCTACTGCATCAGTAAGCTAGAGATTCATTAAGTATAGGAAACCATTACAAATATCTGAACTGTAGTGGAGTGAAAGGTAACATTTAAATGAAGGTACTCAATTCTACTTGGTACATTTCCATCACTGATTACCATGACTTGATTTTAACTTATTTATTTTCATTATCAAATCTATTAAAAAAACACTAATACATTTGAGCATTATTGCGAAATCCTCTCATACCTCCACCTACATCCAAGTATCAAAACAATGTTAATTCTTAATCAATCTTAATGTTATATTGTTTTTCTTCTGATTCTGCAGATCGAATAAAGACAAAGCCACACGTCTGAGCGGCATAGGTATGCATGTGAATCATTCATATAATTAAGCAATAGCTCACGACAGGCCGTGGTATATGCTCATTATATCACAGCTAAGGGGCGTGGTTCGGCCCGACGCGAGTGTAGCAATATGAAAGAAAAATACACACTCTCATTTAAATAGTTTTTATTAGTAAATAATGATGTTCAAAATAAAATAGTCCCTCCGTTGCCTTCTGCACGAAACATAGTGCGAGGTGGTTGCTATGCAACAACACTAACAGCTAGCGAACATATTAGACAGAGAGCGTTGATCCATTATTTGGCTATTTATTTACATTCATTTGTATGTTGCTGTTTATTGTGCACCCACTGAAAAACTATCTAGCATCAGTAGCATGGCTTACGTGGTTACTTGTATAGGCTGAGGTTGTTCGAGGCTGTTGCTTGGCGTGGCGAGAATATTGCTCCACTTTCTCCGGTCCCCGAGATTCGGCTTCCAGTAGCTCTGGAGAGAGCTTTCGTACCTGTGGCCACTAACGGTCATAATTTCTCGGCTTTGTTTCAAGACCCGCACCAGAAAGCTTTTGAATGGTGGTACTTTTCCAGTTGGTCTACCTGCTCTTCACGTAGCTCTACATGTCGTCATTTAGGTGCTTTTTGTTCTGGAGATAGGCACTCCTCAATCCACTCCTCCATAGTAAGACCACCCCGGAGGTCGAAGTTAATCTTAAATGTTTCCATCTTATGCTTTGTAAGTTTGTTTCGTAACGGAAGAAATGTAAATATATTTATAAAACGGACAAGTCAAATCAAGCAATCTGATTGGTCGATTGCGTTTTTGCGGACCTTTTTGATTACAGATTTGAAAACATCGTTGCTTGCTTTAAAAGTAACACAATTCATTATGTCAAACCTTGGAAAGTATCCAGATATCCCTGCCCTAATGCCAAAGGAACTGCACACTGAATATGTTTTTGCCGTCTGATGTCTATGTCTGGACCGCTGCGTAAAAAGGAGGGTTTCTGCCCCGTTACTTTCTTCCAGTTTGAAAAGCAAACTGCAGGCAGTTTGCTTTTCAGCCCAACTGTATACAGTTTTTCTCAGACGCGGAGGGATACTGACTTGTTGTGAAAAGTAACTTACAATTCTACCCGTGGTATACGCTCAGTATATCACTGCTAAGAACCAATCAGATTGCTTGATTTGACTTGTCCGTTTTATAATGTAAAATGTATTATGAATGTATATTAGTTATTTTAATTGTTCACATACAAGAAAAAAATGCTCTATCAAACACTCATTTTATTGTTTTTATTTGTCTCTCAACTCTCAGGTGAGAAGCTGATGTGGTTTCAGGAGAATTTGGATACAGAAAAGACGGCGTTCACCAAAAAAGATGCCTGTTACATTGTTGAGAGGTCAGACATTTGTGATTTATGTTGATTTAGTTTTTGCCACCTGTCTTTTCAAGTTTAAAATAAATACCAATATTGACACGTAAAACCCACCTGTAACCATATGATTTTGACAGAGCTTGTGTGTTCCTGTGTGTGTGCAGGTACCTCCAGAGGTTTGAACCTGAACTGGAGCAAATTGAGCTTGTGAACGGCATCAAAGGTCGGCAGGGTCGTCTCCATGGCGCCAGGGAAGCTGTCGTCAAACAAACCATGGAGCGAGAGCAGGAGCAGTACAAGAACGTTGGGTTCGGTGAGTACACATCATGTCAATGTATTTATATCCTTTGTTAGTATATAAGTGCTTTGTTAGTAATTTTATTGCTCGAAGTGGAGTCGAAAGAGATGAGTTTTCAGTCTGCGCCGGAAGATGTGTAAGCTTTCATATACAAGTACATGCTCACTTCCAGTGTTGGAAAGTCCTCCATGATCCTATTTTGTCTTCTTCACAGAGATCCCAGACATCATAAATGCTAAGAACCTTAAAACATTCAGGTGAGTGGGTAGAAAATAACATATTTTATTTTCTGTTTATTACAATGTATGTTTTTGAAAAGCAGCCATGGCGATCCAGTTTAGCAGTTTGACGAACCCGATCATACAAAAAATGAATTTTAAATGTTAATTCAAAGTATTTACGTATGGGCAGATTATAGAATTTCTTTGTCGTTCTCCTAATTTAAAAGTCTTAAGATACTGACATTTATTTATTTATTATTTTCTTTAAATAGAATTGTAACTTTAAGCACGTGATCATTCATAAACCTCAAAGTTTGATGACGTGTTATTTCATTTATTAGGGAGTGGACTGGTGACGTGAAGAAACTTCCAAATATCAAACTGCGAAAGGTGTTCAAAAAAGACTTGGAGACAAAGAATGAAGAAGATGATAAACCTGAAGACGCAGATGATGATAATGAGGGTGATGAAGATGATTTGGATGATGACCAGCTAGATGAGGATGTGCTGATGTCGGACTTACTCTGAACATTTTGGTAATGGACTGTAGCTCAAATCTTAGGTCGTCCTTACGGGATAACTGACTGCAGGGCTGAACATCAGACGGCTGCTGCTCCACCACTGCACTGGTGGTGCCAGACTTAAAAATGGAAAACTAATCTTGTATCACTTCTTCAATGCTCAGTAACTCCACAGCAGCCTGTGAGGGGTTCTACATTCATTGTTTATTGCACAAACACATATGAGTTGTATGCAACCTGAATACTGCCATCTTATCCAATCAGAGATAGAAAAAAGGTTTTGACAAAGATGTTGAGTGCTCTTTATGTTGTGGTAGCTATAAGACAGAGAACATGTTATTTTCTGTGACCTGACAGATTAAAAAACAAATTAAACCTGTAGGTGTGAACAACATTCGCCTCTTTCTGTGTATACTTGTTACTGACTCACACTGTGTGTTAAGTCTAAATGCTGCAGAGTGCAAAAACACAATCATCAACAACTGGTCTACTTGAGATTAGCTAATTAGGAAATCTTCAAACCTGGCCTATGATCATAAATAAAATCAGCTTTTTCAAAAACATCACATCTTTAGATTTTAACACTGAGCTTTACATACCGTTTAGACAATATTTTTCTACTTATCGCATCTTGACTCTTTGGTGTCTGAAGTCCTGAAAGAGAGTTAAGGCATCAGTATGCTTCAAACAAAGCCCTGGTCGGATTATCCTCAGCATCTGAAACGGCTTTCACATGGGCCTAGATGTAAAAATATCATGTCTAATGTCTGTCGAGAGAGAAATCCAGCTTTTGTGAATTGTAGTCGCACTCACAGCTGAATGAAGCTCCCTTTTCTAAGCAGTAGTGTATATATACAGAGGTTGGATTGTTTGAAGAATACTGAGACCTTTAATAGCATCCTCAGGGTGAACTCACCTTTAAATCATGTCAGTGCAGTAAAGTGCATACAGGAATAAATCTCAGAATATCACAGCAACTGACGTCTTTACGGAATCTCTCGCAGGTGGCTTTATTTTCCTTCACATCTCCTCACCTACTCTTCTCTTTGTTACTTTGCACATCTGAGTCCCTTTAGCTTTTCAGTGGACCCTGAAGGAGATTAAATCAGTTCCTGACTCCAGATCAGTCATCACGGAGCAGAAATGAACATCGCTGAGGTCTACATTAAAAACCACGCTCTGCTCACCGTGTGTGATGAGCAGCGTGTGATTCTGGACTCTTTGTGAGCGTGGGCAGATTTTGTCAGACAGGGTTTTGTGCCGGCGCCACCGCATCCTCCACCGACATCTCAGAGTCCGACTGCTGAGCCTCTGGAGCCGGGCTGATGGGGACCTCCACCGTCCCCTGCCTGCCGTTGGTCAGGGTGCTGTGTCGGGGCGGAGGGTGGTGCACGTCCTTCTCAGGGCAGTTCTGCACCGTGATGATGCGGTTGAAGGCCTTGAGGCGGCGCCACAGCTGCAGGTAGACTTTACACTGGATGTACATGAAGATGAGGCCGCCTGTGAGGCCGAGAGCCACCAGGATCAGCTTCGTCCAGAAGGGCCACTCGAGCACACCTGAGGACACACACATAACACAACACACAAGGACACACACACACACGTATCAGCTGTTAGCCAACAGGCAGGCTGTGGGATGGATCATGATGGTGCAGAGCTGTGCTTACCACCTGGCGTGTACGTGTAGTACTTCAATAGAGAAACTCTCCATAATTCGTCTGCAATCAAGAGTGAGTGTAATTTTTTTATTTCTGTGACCTATGAATATACATTTCTATGCTATTATTTATTATATACAGTACACTAATGATATATATTAGGCTTATTAAAGTGGAAATAGACAACTTTTAAACACCTCCCTCTCCTCGCTGTAAGCAAGACAACTTTTTATTTCAGAGCCTACTACCAGCCACAAACTCAGTGATTATTACAGACAATCATGCCAAAAGCAAGAATAAATTCAAATATGTTTTACTGTAAACCATTTACAAAGCTACCCTTTGAGAGTCTCCTCCTCTGGCAATGTGCAGTCTCTCCCACACTGCAGCCGACACAAACCAGGCTTTATGAAAATGAATGAGCGATGATGAAGACTTTTGGAGCTAGGGGCTAGATGCTTTTATTGGAAAAGAGTAGGCAACGCTGCCCAGAACACACAGCTTTTTGTTTTCAAGGCCAAATGTTTGTTTGGCAATGGTTTTTAATTCCAAATCAAGCCTTTATTTCCCCAGGAGACTGTACCAACTGACGGACAGACGTGCAGGGGGAAAGTGGGGCTTGAAGGGAACCAGTGTAACAACAATGGTGTCATTATTCTGCAGACAGTACATTGTGCAACTGATATTTACTTTTATAATTTTTGATTGAAACAAAAATTAAAACTTGTCTATTGCCACTTTATTTGATATTAAGTTATTTTAAAAATACTGCATTTATATGAACTAACATGAGGTCCTACTATATGAAAATGATAATAGTGTTACGCTATAATCACAGCACCACAAACTACACAACAATGATCACACAAAACCTCAGAGGGACCTATTCTCACTTTGAAAATGTATTCAATTGCGACAAACTGAAATAAGATTTAAGTTTTTGTGATCATCAGGATTTAACAACTATCATGTGACCTGTCAAAGTAAAAACTCTGAACTACCTGCTCACTTAAAGAAAATGATTATCCAATGTCTTAAAAGAAAGTTTATTTACATGTTATAGCCAGTAAGTGATTGAATAATAATATTCAAGAACATTGAAGATGTGTCAAACCCAAAACGCATATGAGAGGCATAAATTGAACAATGGATCTGTGAAAAATCACATCACCAGAGTCTGACATATGTAACCAGTGGCGACTGGTCATTAGGGGCAGGTGCAGGCACAGCCCCACCTAGTGTCAGCAGAAAGTATTACAAATAATGATTACAAAAAATGCAAAAAATAAATTAAAAAATATATAAAATATATTTTAAGATCATGTTTAATCATCTGATTCGTCTGTACATTGCTGTTTTAGTCTGTGTTCTTCTAATTAGTGTGTCTACAGTCACAGTGTGTGCCTATTGAGCTGTTTAGAGCCATGTGGGACAAAACCTGATCATGCCCCTTCCTCTCGCTGTGAAGTGAACGGTGACTGTAAAAACTTCACTGCGCATGCTCAGAGTATTTTCCTATTTAATGTGTGTGGCAAAAAAATAATGACCATAGGGGCACTGAGCTGCCATCCCCACCATACGTCATCTCACATCATTCAGAGCTGATTGGCTGTAAGTACGTGTGCCGCGAAAAGTGTGGTGTGTGAAGAGGAGACGAGAGAGCTGCAGTGACGCGTCCTAAAACCAGGAAGTAAGCTGCGCATGGCTTCCCTCGACAAAAAAGCAATGAGGTTTCTCCATAGGATTTTAGAAAATAGCTCGAAATAAGATCTGTGGGAAACGTACCTGTTAGATAAATGCACGTTTTGATCAGCCGGATAACATCCACATGTCTACCCTACTTTTATAATTTTTTTATCATAAATCTATCGATTAGATTTATGATAGACTTTTGAAACTACAAGAAGATAAGGAGGACTTTTACAAAAAAGTAATAGAAATGTTTGTCCAGAAGGATAGGAAAATGGACTTCATCTTCAAGTCAAGGTAAGACCGCCATTTTATTGAAAATGGGATCTTACTAAGAGAGAACAATTCAATATTTAAATGATAAAATTACATTTTTTGGGTATCCTTTTGTTGAACTGTCTGTTTAAAATTAATCGAAGCATCAGACAAAAAAAGCTTTTGAAAATAATATTATATTTTGGTTTAGGTCAAAATATAATATTTGTAAACCTGAAGAGTCAGTGCCAGTGCCTCACCAGCCATGAACCTCACTGCACGTCACTGCAGAAGCTTATATATAGACATCTAAGTTTTTTGTGCCCCACCACTTTTGTACATATAAAAACGCCACTGTATGTAACGATCTACAGGTGAAAAGTTGAAGGTACCCTGTGGAGTTTTGACCACAAGGGGTGCTGCTGTGCGGTTAATCATTATATTATTTTTATATAATAACATTAAATGACTTGTATGTAGTCATAGTATATATATATTGTAATATGAGACACATAAAATACATACTACATTGTACATACTAATTTCAATTTTGTTTGTCTTTTCTTCTTGTTTATATTTTGGTTATATTAAGGGAAAAACTGTCGGAACCCAATTGTCCCAGAGGAATGAAAAAAGTATTTCTGATTCTGAATAATTTGTCTCCGCAGCTTCTCGTGACCATGTGACAAATCACATTTTTAAAGGACAAGAACATGGCAAGCTGAACAATGCATTTTATACAATGTAAAGTTTGCAAATGCTTGTAGAGGTAAAATCCAAAACTCCCCATGGTACCTTTTGCCTTAGATCATAACACTATAACTCTGCGTGTCTCTGGGATGTGAGAGAGGGAAGGGGGGGGGGGGTTGAAAACTCACCGTTCCTCCCAATTTTGATCTCTTCTGAGGTTCTCATGGCCAGAACGAAGACTGACAACATCATACACGTTACTGCTAGCAGGTGAAAGACCACCGAGAAGAAGATCTTCCTCCTCTCGGCCTTTGACATGTTTAGCCTCTCCCACTGGAAGAAGGAGGGATGGGGGAGAGAGCACCGTTTTTAGAAGAGGGAGAGAGAAATATTTTCATTATTGCAGTCTGACAATAGATCTCAGTTCATAGCTGTGAATGGAGGATATGGGTGTGACTGCCTACCATGCACAAAGGTTTGAGCGTCATGTCCATGACGAAGTCAAACTTGCAGAGTTCACAGCAGCGAGTGTCCGAGGACCTGATCCACTGGTTGAGACAGAACTGGTGCACGAAACTCAGACTCCCCGTGCAGCGACAAGGCGTTATTAAGGCGCTCTCGTCATCCCCCTCACAGTGGCAGATCCTACGCACACACACACACACACACACACGCACACACACACACACACACACACACACACACACACACACACACACACACACACACACACACACACACACACAGAAAATAAACATTAAGTAATCACACATAAGCAAGTCGGATATTGTACAAATTTGAGGTACTTTTACTTCCCTTGAGTATTTTCTTATCATGCCACCTTATACTTCTACCCCCTTACAATTATTTGGCATCTTCTAATCATAAAATGACATTAATGGATTACACTTTTGGGGTATCTAGTGTCTCCCTGACCAAGAGAAGTTCCCTTTTTGGACCATGACCTTAAATGATGAAAGTGATATTGATGGATGACACGTGGATACACCAACACTGAAATAAGCCTCACAAGCACCCACTCACCTGCAGACCTCCGTATCAGAGTCGTCAGAGTACGCCTGTGTGCTTCCGTTCATAGCACAGTGATTCTGAGGTGTGGGCACTGACATGTCGCCCCCCCCTGCCCCTTTCTCCTGGTATCTCTTGTTGATGAGCTCCTCTCCGTCCGCGGACAGTGAGGAGGAGTCTGACTTGGAGCTCTTCTCCTTGCTCTGTGAGCCTTCTCTCTGTGAGCCTTCTCTCTGTGAGGCGTGCTCGTCTCTCTTCGCGGAGGCCCGGCTGCTGCTGCTGCGTTTCTTCAGCCCGGCGCTCTCCTCCACCAGCGGCAGGCTCTCCTTCCTTTCATCAGAGCACACCGACTGCAGCTCCATCACCTTGTCTTCTTCTTCTTTCCCCTCGGCTCCATCCCTCTCCCGGCTGCTTCCGCTGCGGCGCCTCACTCTTCGGGCTTTCTCTTTGCTCCAGCTGCGGTCCTCTCGCCCTGCCTCCTCCTCAGAGGTGGAGTCAGAGGGCGGGCCCCCTGCGGTGCGGAGGCGAGGGGGGAGCTCTCTCCGGGTCTTGGCCGTCCATTCCTTCTTCTCCCCGAGCTCGCTGCGGTCAGAGCTGAGGCTGCGCTCGCTGTGCTCCGGTTTGCTGTTGGTTTCCACCGAGTCTGGGGAGCAGCTGCTCTTCTTGCGGCGGTGGCGGCGCTTCACCTGCTTCTTCTGGGCCGGAGCGGCCGAGCCCAGAGTCGTGTTGGTGACGCTCATCACAGAGCTGTGGGTGGGATTCTCAGGTTTCTGAGACTCAGAGACATCCTCCTCTACATGGGTCAGCTGGCTAGAGCTGAACACGCACGCACGCGCATGCACACACACACACACGCACGCACGCACGCACGCACGCACGCACACACACACACACACACACACACACACACACACACACACACACACACACACACACACGAGACAAACAGAGAGATGAAGATGTGTAAAAGAATAATGTGAAATAGAATGACATGAAGTGTGGCGACATTAATTAAACAACTACTCTGAAAAGGTCAGTTCACCCAAATTACAAAAGACATACAGTAGTAAGAAACTACTTTGCACCGCAGATTGTTTTGTCCTTCTATGCCCTGGTCTCAAATTCAGCTTTTACCCCAATGCAATGGAGGGGAATTTGATTTACTCTTTGGGGCAAAATAGATTTTTACTGTGAAAAAAACACAGACCTTACTGTCAAAATGTTTTGCAGCTTTCTTTAAAAGAAAAAAGTGTACAGTGAGATTTCCTAGCCATCCTGAATATCATATTCCTAGAAACTTTGAGCTTTCAGTCCATTGCAAGTGACTGAAGGTTGGACTATCTCCATACCTGGGCAGATATAACTAACTATATCTGCATTTTTTAGGATTCCACTTGCAGGGAGTATTTATATTATTCTGTAAAGCTGAATCTCAATTCATATATCTGAACTGTGGTGAGATCCAGCTCAAGTCAATCTAGAGAAAGGATACGTCTAGATTTGAAATAAAGAACATTAAATGAGCTGTTCCTAGAAACCCCCACCTGCCGGCGTTGGTATATAAAAATAACTCCTAAGATACAGAACAGTGGGACATGATGTACAACTGAATAATTAAGTGAAAAAAATGATTACCAGGCTGGTTAATCAGAATAAGAAATAGTGAATATGGAATCATTTCAGGATGCTATGTAACAGATGGAGGTTCACATACTCACATACATCACGTGTCCACACTGCTATAAACAGAGTGTCCTCTCTGCTTTTAACCACAGGACAGAGCCTCTCGACAGGACAACCAACCACCAGTGGATATAATAAGCTGAATCACATTTCTGCCATCAGCCATCTTCCCTTTAATGATTGTGCTTTGGGACCACCATTGGTGTTTGGCATCCATTTTAATTGTGTTAATGCCGCCTGGGTGCTGAGGACCGTGCTTAATCAGTCTTCCAATCAGTGGAGATGAAGCTTTAAACTGTGCGGCTTAATGTCACAGAGAGAATTGTGGCTGGAGCTTTTGTTGTCCACATTCTGTAATTCTGTGTAAAACTTCAAGAGAAAGCTAGCTCACCTGCAAATGTCCTGAGAGGACGGGGTGATCGATGTTCTTGAGGCTGTAGCTGGTCCTGCTGTGGAGTTGCTGGCCTAAAACAAGTGGATGCAGATTAACTTCCTGCTAGGAAATCATAACAACTTAAAGTGGACCTATCATGCTATATTTGAATAATATAGTGTAGGACCATACCTATATAAGGCATATTTATACTTTTTTTTTTTCAAAATACCAAACAGATCATGCATTTTAGCCATGCCTCATTTTGCTCAATTTGACATTTGTTAGCTCTGTTTTAGCAAGGGCTGATTCAGTGAGAACAGCACCATCTACAGGCCTGGCATATGTACTACAGCGTCTCCAGCACTTTCGAACGGCAATGGCCGTGGCTGTCTCCTCCTGATTGGTGGAGTTGGCCCAATAGCCGTAGCGCCACCGTCCTGACGTCAGGACAGTGTTCAAATCTGGATCAGTTTTTATCAGATCCGTTGCAGCCCCTTTTTTAGAGATTTGGGTATGGAGGAAAATAGAGAGGGTTGTGTTTTCTGACACTTGGTGAGTTCCCTGGAACACCGGGGACACATATTCATGTATAAAAGACGCACAAAAGTGCATTTTGCATGATAGGTCCCCTTTAAATCAAATATCATCAGGTGATCACAACATCTTATCAGACTTTGTAGCGATTACATAATCAAAAATATTGATAAACCATACATAGAAATGATGCTGGAACAATTGTTTGTAACCCAAAATAAGCTAACAAGCCAACATATAAAGTACTGCTTACATATTAGCTATGTAGAGATTTATTTTATCTTTGGTTTTTCTGAGCAAGTGTTGTGTTGAATTAAAGTGATGATTCTATGCAGGTTTATAACTTTGTATTACTTTGAGTAACTCTTCCACATTACACAATGTCATTTGGGTCATAGCTAATAACAACAAATATGAAAGCATCATGTATTGTCTCATGAGTCATACAACAGTGTGTAGATATAAGGGATATAAGCACAATCTTGCACATTAGACTATGCTTGGGTTAACAAAGCTATCCACCCTTTGAACCGTGACATTGACATTGGCCCTTTAAGCTCCCTGATATTCAGCCGTTACCTTGGAGATGTTGCTGGATCGACTCCCTGAGCGGCCGGGGGCCTTCCTCCCCTGCAGGGAGAGGGCGAGACGGTAAATCATTAGAGAACAGGAGATGTTGGTCATTAAAGCACAAAGTGTTTGAATCAGTGATTTACCTAGCACAAAACACTAGGTAATCCATTGATAATACATTTACACAATATTTCACTTCCCTCACTTCAGGGTAAGAGCTCAATCATGACTTGCTGTAGGTTATTACTATTATTACATTGATTAATAGTTTAGTATATAAAAATATGGAAAATGTATGTTATGATGCAAAACTGTAATGATTTATAGGAGACAGAAAATCTAAAAATCTCCACATTTAAAGAGCAGAAACCAGTCACTAGGGGCGATTCCTTATACTTTGTGTTGCAGTAGCTAAATATAGGAAATTGGACACGCTAATGCTCTTAATCTGCAATATAAACAAGGAAAACATTGTAATTAAATTAACCTAATACTACATGTTCAGGAGAATCCATTATTATTCTGAGTTAACTGGCTGCGTGTTGATTGGTTAAAAATCCCGCGCCAGGAGTCATGCGTTGCCACGTGTCCTTGTTATTTCATTCTGACCCGGGCTAAAGACAACCAATCCTATTACCTGCTCCTCCTTCTCTAAGTGGATGCAATGCTGCTCTGCATGCAATGTGTCTCTATTTATAGCAAACTCATAACACGTTTTCTAGAACTTCCCAGAGCGCCGTTTGCCCAACTCAATGGTCAGACCTTGAACTCAACCCTCAGACTGTTGTGACCTCGTTTCCCGCCTGCAGCTTCTTACACAAGTTCCAGTTACCGGAGGGTGATTCTGCGTAGGAGTTACTAAGTACTGAGAGCGAGAATACATCGTGAACAAAACAAGATGTTCTGTACAAAACATTTAAAATAAATAATAGATTAAATAACCTAAGAGAAATTTCAGGTTTTGGGTAATTCAGTAGAACACAAATCTGAAAAAAAGTCACATTAACGCAAAAGTTATATAGTTATATATATCACAATCTGCTGACCAGATAATTTATCTCCATCATAGGAAGCAGTGTCCTATCTAGAGATTTGTTGGCACTAAAATGCTAGAATCTCTTGGCAGATGTCTAAAAAGAGAATGTTGCCTCTATACTTACTATTGGGACAGTTATAATTAGACACTACTAGATTGCAACAAGAAATCTTACTTGAAAAATGTCAGATTTTCTTTTCAAATCAAGATTACCAACATCACTTCTTTCAGTTGGCTTTCATCCTTAGCTAAAATAGTGATGTTTCTGTCAGAAAAGTGCATTATGGGATTAAATCTGTCTTGGCACAGAGACAGCGGTAACACACGTCTTTACTGTGAAAAGCTGTGGGATTCTGTATGAACTATGTGCGAACATTAGCCAATAAAATGCATATAAGTTTGACCATGTGATGGAGACACGAAGGGTGAGCTGCCACTGGAAAATTAAGTAATAAAATAGAGTGAAAATTAAACAGATATTCGATTGTATAGTCTATATATATCGTCTAAAGGTATTTACAGATTGTGATGCTCTACTCTCTCTTTGCAGGTGAGTGGCATGGACACTAATTGCTGCCTCCCAGTATATCTTTGTACTCATCCTGGGAATAATTAAAGGGCAAGTCTCAGAGGACCTGAGGGATCTAGGTGGAGCAAACATGGAGAGCATGTCCGAAAGGAATTCCGGCGCTAATCCATGAGTCATTTGAACACGAATAAAAGGATCTTAAAAGATATTCTACATGAAGAAGCAACCAGAAAAGGGACTTTAGGAAAGGTTAGATGTGAGCTCTGGTGTTTGTCTGACTTTGTATAAAATCAATAGCTTTGATATTTAAGAAGAAAGGAGAGGTGTACTTGTTGTTTTATTTTGACATAAAGAGAGAATTGGCATTTATTTTTTTAAGTCAATTATATACTTAAATATTTTTGAACATGAAAATACATTGCGTCCCGATACTGTAGTTTCGCAGCAATGTCATGAATGAATATGCCTGCTTACATGCTATACATGTTAGAGGTCTGTTTGTACCATTTTTAAATAAAATATATTATACGTGGTTTAACGCAATTGGTGAGCTGTATGAAGTTATATGCTTTACGTATCTTACAGGATATACCGAGTTCAAAGTTGATGTTAGCAACGTCACATGTGGGTGGCTTCTTTAAATATATTTTATTTTAAATATGAAGAACAGAGCAGAGTTTGCCTGAACCAACCCACACACAGACACAGTTGTATGTACAGTCAGTGAAATAAAAGAGACTTTGACAGTGGAAGAGTGCTTGGTCTAAGCTGATCAAAGGATTTGCTGACAGCCAGGTTTAAATCAGTAGACCTGTGTGGAGTCAATGCACACACCCTGCGGCCTCCTCAGGAAGGGAGATTACAGAGGAGACATGGACTTGGCATAGTGCGCGATTGTAATGTTTGGTAGTTTAACAAGACACATCAGTTATTAATTGAGTCGTAAAAGAGATCCATTCTGATATAACTACTCCAAAAATGTAGGTAAAAAAAGATCAATCAAAGATAAAAGCCTATGTAATGGTATCTGTCCCCCTCATTTGAGCTGATGACACTGCAGGAAGCTCAACAATGTCTTTGCTTACAGAAGTCTGACTGCGAGAAGCTCATTCTGCTATTTTGGCAGAGGAAAGAAGTGCCTTCTGTTAATCTCTGCCAAACTAAGCTGACCAAAACTGCTTTTAGAGAGATTTTGAAAAACAAACCATGTGAATTTATTAAGTTGTGGCATACATTTGTATTTCACAACAACAGAATGTAGTGTGTTGTGTAGTGTAGAGTGCTGTTCTTTAGAAATATGATGGTGATAACGTGTTTTAAATACAATTAGATGAGTTGATGAGAATATTACCTATGACACCAAGTAAGTAGAGTTTATTTATAAAGCGCTTTTCACAGACAAAGTCACAAAGTGCTTGGCAAAACAATAATACATCCACATAGGAGGAGGCGTACAATGATCAATGAACCCACATGTTAAGAAGTCATAAAAGCACCAGAGCATAATTAAGACACAATAAAAACACAATAAAACAAAACGTACAAATGCAATTTAAAACAAACAAAATAAAAACATAGTATTAAATGGAATAAGATCAAGCACACCGGTTACCCAAACGCCTGACCAAACAGGAATGTCTTTAAAATATGTAGGATTCTTAAAAAAACACGCCACAATTTGAAGTTATTGCTGGAAGATTCTTTGACCGAGGGGTAGGGTAGCACTTTCCCCAAACGTGTAGTCTTTGTGCCAAGCTGAGATAAACACAACTGAACACACAGATGTTAAACTGATATCTGTCTCCTCATTTAGCTAGCAACAGTGTTTTTCAAATGTCAGTGCATTCCAATGAAGGCACAATGAAGGCAGATTCAAAAGTACTGCCTCTATGCCCCCCTAGAGGTGTATGGCGCTGTCTGTATTGACAGAGACCTTTCCCTCGGTTTCCTTTCTTTATTTTCTTCTGGGCCCTCCAAGAGAAAGCTTTTATTATTTTATATTCTTCAACTTTTTTAATTTGTAATGCTATTTTATTTCTATTTCTGAAATATTTTGGACTGTTTATTTCTTGTGTCTTAATTTCTCTTATGTACATTGCCTTGTGTTTTTATTTATCTATCTATCTATACAATCAATGTGTTGAACTACAAGTATAGATTGTGGTCGATTGTCAAAATATTACTGCAAATTACTTCAGCATTTTCAATATCATTGTCTTTAACGAATGATAATGAACCTCTGAACGGAAGATAAAATAAACAACAACAAAAATCGTTCACCTGCTCACGAGCACCCTTTGGTTGCTATCTTTGCTTTGTCATCCAGTCTCATTACTTTCCTTTGTCTGAGAAGCCCTTTAAGTCTGTTCAAACAGCACTGAGTGTAGCAGCTGTACACTGGTGTGTGTACAGTGCATGGTACACATACTCAGATTCCACATGTCTTTCGCTCTTATGACTCATGTACACAGACAGACTATATAATACATTTTTAAAGAGGCAAATGATCTATTCCCATAAACGTATGAGCCAATATCTTGAATTCCTAAAAGGCTCTTACAGTTGTACACTGGACTGTTAGTCTCCATACAGACTGCCAAACATCCAAAGATTATTCTCCTCACCACAGGCAGAGAACCTGTAATGCATCATTCTAAGCGTTCTGAATCGTACGCCTGACAGTCCTAAGAATCACCGAAACTGAAGTTAGATTTCAAGTACAGTTAACTTCACACAGCTAAACACACAGCTCCTTCCTGCCGGAGCCTCGTACCAGCCTCAACTCAGATTTCAGCGGTGACGAAGTGCAGCATCAGAGTTAACATCCTGCGCTCCCTTACCTGAGCGCCTGCTCCTCTGCCAGCACTCTGATGCTCAGCACAGTCTTTGGTGAGTCTTTGTGTGGACATGTGCATGTTTCTGCGGAGGGGATTAAGTGATGCAGCGTTGACCGAGGGCTATATTTTGTTTTTGTGTTCTGGCTCAGGATCAAAAAACACCTACAGCTACATTTAGACAACCAACCATGAAGCTGCAGCTGCACAGATCATATTTGGTTATGGCATGTCTAACAGAACCTTACTGTAAGATAGGGAAAATAAGAAGAATATCCAAAATTATAAATCCATCAGCATTAAATATAGCTAACCTGCTTCATCAGGGTTGAGTTGTTGTGGTTGTCTCTGTGGCAACACAACCAAAACAACCAAGTAGCTGTCCTCATCACATTCTGACTCCAAGTTGTTTCATTCTGATTGGTCCAGGGAAATCACATTTCTTTCAACACAGTTTTATCCACCCCAAACCAGCAAAAAGAGTATATAAATAAATATAGAAATCCCCCATGATATGAAACAAATATAAAGAACGAGACAGCTTTGTTCAAACTCTGGAAGGTAACAGGATGTCATTTAAAGATTGCATCACCTAGGTAAGACTTTAAAGAGAATATCCAATGCATTTTAAAGGTAGGGTAGGTAAGAATGGAGAAACCAGCTCGAGTGCGCTAGAATTTGAAACTACGCAGCTGAAAAAAATCTGCCACTTCCTTCAGACTTCCTTACAGAGCAACCTCCTCTCCTGCAACACACACGGACGCGCACATGACCAATGAGGGCACGAGATAAGTTTGTGCACAGATGGAAGGCTGACAGGCAGGTAGGCCATCCAGTTATTTTAGCCGGGCCGGCTAAAATGACTGGTCGTGCTTTTTACAGCGCCACGGCTTCTTTAGCATTTCATGTATTCATTGCTATCGGGATGTTAAGAGCATTCCATGGAATATAACAAAAAGTGTTTCTGAAGTGAATTACCTACCCTACCTTTAAATGTTACACTTCCATGTGTTTTCCTTCATAAACAGTTTTTTGAATTTCCAGTAGAATCTTTACAGATCCAAGATGTTTAAAGGAATAAACTAGTGTGCTCGCAAACCAGCTCTTTATCTTAATAGCTAAGTTAATGGATATCAAAAAGTAAATGGGCTGAAACAAGCAGAACTTACAGGTCTATAAAATTAAATGTTATATTACTATTGCTTTTGTATTTGGGCTTGGTTAAATGTAATTTGTATTAAGAGTTTAATTAGAAGAAAATGCGAACCCAAGACCTGCATCATTCAATAAGTGTATTCAGTGTGTTAGTTTCTGCTTATTATGTTTATACCCTGGTTGTTTGGTCTGTTAAGCAATATTTGTGATAGCCGAGTTGATGGAAGCGCTGTGTGTGTGTGTGTGTGTATGTGTGTGTGTGTGTGTGTGTGTGTGTGTGTGTGTGTGTGTGTGTGTGTGTGTGTGTGTGTGTGTGTTTTCAGGTCAGAGGTCGGACTGGTGACAACAAGCAATCGCTATAATACAAAGAGCAATTATTAAAAGTTATGGTCATTAGATGTAACAAAACCTCTCTCCTGCTGATCTAAACTAACAGCATGTGGTATTATACCAACTTCATGGCAAGGAGAATAGATAATATGTGTGGAAGCCAGGCACTGAGAAGAATATACTGCTGTTACATTAAGTATGACACAAATACTTGTTTTGGTAACTTGTCAATTAGCCTCAACATTTTGTTCATAGCAATCAGCTGTGAAATTGGTGTTTATAAGGTCTGTGTCTTCGGGTTTGACATTTCTCTGTTCTGCATTGGAACGGATCGCAGCTTTCAAATAATGGAAGGTCTGTGCGGAAGTTTTTTGCCCCATGAAGATGTCTAGTTAAAACTCATATAGGTGTTGTGATTAGGTTAGTGAATAAATTACTTGAGAATGGTGCCAAAAATGAGGAAGTGAAACCATTTTCTATTACAGTTACTGACGTCAGGGACTATATGTTCCTCAGTAGGTTTGCAGTGACGCCATTATCAACAGAAAAATGTATTCTTATTGGAATCAAAAGACTGAATAATCACAAAACAATATAGTTACAACCACGATTTGTAAACGGTATAGTTTTCAGAAATACTCAACTCTACTTTGAATGCTCTCTGCTTTCAGACAAAATGACTTTGTAGCCTTGTGCATGTAACATAACATGATGTGAAGTGATGCAATGTTACATATTATGTCTCATTATGTTCTATGATGTTTCATGACGTTCAATGAGGTGCTATGATGTGATGTCAGGCTGACAGAAGATGCCGTTGAAAGCATGAAACCCCAAGTGAGGGAGCAGTGATAAAAGGTTGCTGAGTGCATGTATGTACTGTATGCCTGAGTGACTCTGTGAGTTCAAAAAACTGTCAGCTGATACTGGTGGCTGACACACACACACACACGCATGCACGCACGCACGCACGCACGCACGCACACACACACACACACACACACACACACACACACACACACACACACAGACTAACCTCAATCTCCTCCTCTGACAAGTTGTGCTGCTAATAAGCTTACTCAACTTGTGCAAATGGACAGCAGCGCGCACACACACACACACACACACACACACACACACACACACACACACACACACACACACACACACACACACACACACACACACAAACACACAAACACACTAACACATGCAAACTCCTCTACAGTCATCAATACTCAAGGACCAATCAAAAGACTTCTACTTTCAAACAAAACAGAGCTGGATCTTCAAACTCTAGATTCAAATCTGAATAACTTTGCACTGGTTTAAAGCCTCAAATGCAAACAGAGAGAAAAACATGAATCCACAAAGCTTTTTCTGTCACCTTAACGGCTCAGGAGCAAAGTTAGGAGGTCAAACACTTACCTCCGTTTTATCCTTTGAACGACTAGAGCTTTTACCATTGCTGGCAGTTTCCTTGGTCGGAACCACAGTTATCTGTTGTACTGGCATGCTGCTGTTTCCAGGCAACGCTTCCCGATGTTACTCCCACAGCATTCCCAGCACGGCTCACTTTCCCGTCCTCTGCTCCGCGTCCCTGTGTTTGAGATCTGTTTTCTCATCAACAAGCTGTCTCCGGGGAAATCCGTAATCCGTGTCCTCTTTCAGCCCAATCCGGATCCTAAAGAGGAGGGGAGATGTAGTGGGATCAGGTCACCGCGGCAACGGGAAGATAGCTCTGAAGATGGACGGGTGTGATATCGTCATGACGACTGTGAAGCTACTCAACAGTGCTCACCACCTCCTCCTCCTTATTCTCTGCCCTCCTGCTGAGAGAGAGAGAGAGAGAGTTGAGATCGAGCCGAGCAGTAAACAAGGATGCAGGGGGAAAGTGGGTTGTCGCGACGTCTGTGTCTGTGTCTGTGTGTGTGTGTGTGTGTGTGTGTGTGTGTGAGTGTGTGTCTTTCTTGGAGGGGTGGAGCCAGGATTTTATCGTGCTTGCTTTGCTTGGTAATAAGCATAAGGTCTACAAGGATTAGGGGTTAGACTAACCTCAATCTCCTCCTCTGACCAGTTGTGCTGCTAATAAGCTTACTGAACTTGTGCAAATGTACAGCAGCCGCACTCACACGCGCACACACACACACACACACACACACACACACACACACACACACACACACACACACACACACACACACACACACACACACACACACACACACACACACAGTGTCTGATTGTTCAGGAACTCCCTGCTGGCTGAGAAACAGTGTGTTGATTGATGTAAAGCTGCCCTATTTCTTCCTTTAAAAAAAGAAAAAGGCCAATTAATCGTCTATGTGACCCGCCATGAAGAAAAAAACCTTTCACAACCATACTCAATGTCTTCAGATAAAGTGTGTGTACGTGTGTGTGTGTGTTTATGGTGGAGGTTTTAATCCTAGATTCTCTCAGGTCATGAGGATTATGATTGATATAACTGGAAAATGGGAGACTTACAGTGATCAGTCAAATCCGCAGCTTACTGAGGTGAAGAGGCGAACTCTCGTGCACTGGGCAGTGACTGTCCGCCATTTTTTAGATTCAACATTCAAAGCGCTTCCCTGATGCTTTTTTATGATTAGAACAAACAAAATGAATGCATTGAAGCTAATCTGGAATTTTAAACCACAGTTTGTAGCATGTCCAAGTTGTTTCATAATAGATGAGGTTGTTCTTGTGCCAGAGCCAGACAAACCTAGAGAGAACTGGCAACAATAATGCATGGCTAAGATTGACGCAGCAATAGATGTTGTTCACTTAATTAAAACACTTTGATAAACATTTCTGTTTAATTTGAAAGTTTAAGATGAACCATATGACAATTGCGTGAATTATTTGTCACTAACAACCCAATATTATTTTTACTTTTTTTAGACGTGACTGTGTTTTTAACTTTAGTTGTCATTTGTTACGTTTTTCTACAGATGAGTAGGTGTGCATTAAGTTGAGGAATATTTACCACAGTTTAAACAAAAGACTAACACTGTATTTTTTGTGTCACAAACAGGCTGTAGTGAAACTCTTACATGTTTTGTTTTGCATATATTATCCGGTAAATACCTGCACACATTTTAGTATACAACCTTGACAACAGTATGCATTACCTGTCTAGCGTGTTACTACATTACATGTCTAAATCCTCATTTGTACATTTTACGTGATTTATTATTTATACTTTTTCAAATTGTTCTTTCTTTAACATTTAATATGCTCTCTAGAAATCCACCTGTGTGTTGGTTGAACTGAACTTGAACTGACCTCCTGTCTCTACTTTACATTACATTACATGTCATTTGTTAGACGCTTTTATCCAAAGCGACTTACATACATTCAGTACTGTGGACAATCCCCACAATTTGGGGTGAAGTGTTTTGCCCAGGGACACAACGACATGCTGACTGCAGTGGGACTCGAACTTACCTTCCCCTGATTCGAAGTCCAGCACACTACCCACCGGGCCACACCCTCCCCTTTACCTGCTTGTTTTTTTACTTTTTACAGATTCACTA